AATTGTAATTCGATTGTGTCGAAAGAGATTAGATTTGTTTTAGACTTAAATAATATTGATTTAGATCTAAAACATAATAGATTTGATTTAGTACCAAAATAAGTATTTTGGGCTTTTATAGTTTTGGGCTTAGGGTGCAAGCTAAATCTATAAATATAGATAGTAACCCCTATTATGTAATCAAGTCAATTAAGTCATTCACAGTACTTTGCAGTTGCAAAGTGAATAACAAAGCTTTCTACAGTTTGTGGACAGAGAGGAACTCTGCAGAAAATAATTGTCTTCTTTCTTTTCTTGTTTTTATCATAATTCATTGTCATTGAAGTAGAAATTCATCATAGATATTTGGTGGATTTCCAACAAATCCAACATATAGAGTTACACATAAGTTTGCTTTCAACATAAACAAAACAAATGCAATTCCCCCCGTGTTACGTATCAGAGCAAACATTGACTCAAACTACACAATAAGAGGCAATCTCCTCTGCTAACCTCAATCCTGACCTACTCTTGAGTATCTGCACAATGTCGTATAAAGTATCATTCAAACAGAAGGGTGAAATTATTAATCACATAAAGAATTCATAAATATATAAGCAAATAATTATTAGTTATCCACTCAATCATCAATCCACACATACAATTCAATGCATTAATGAATAATCCAACAACTCAAACCAACTAATCAAAAACACAACATGGTAGGTTATGCAATGCAATGAGACTTGAGTATACGACTCAATGCATGTGGTACCATCAACTCATAAGAATCCACCAATTAATTCTCGTCGCAATTCGGGTACATCACTCACACTGCACAGGGCATACAATTATCCCACTCTTCGTCGCTCACACCTCATTGGGCACACGATCGTTGCTCACACGCCACCGGGCACACAATGATACCATTCTTGGTTAGAATCCGAATATATCACTCACACCTCAGTTGTGCACACGATAATCCCACACTTGTACATAAATGTATGCATTACATATGTACAACTCATACAACAACAATAATATGCACATCGACCTTCACCGTGGTCGGTGCACTTCGCCACTACGGGCCAATACACAACATTCACATGTCAAACATGCAACAATAATACAATAATATATCAAACAGTAACAACTTATTTGCACACATCCAACAATGCAATATCATGGTATCACAATTCCCCAAGCATGTTATCAACTCATCATGTTATAACCGATAACAATAACAACACATCGCAACGTTACAACAACACAACATCATGGCATCACAATCCACCAAGCATATTATCAACTCATCGTGTTATATTCAATAACGATAACACAACATCGAAACATTACAATAACACACCATCACAGTATCACCATGCATTTACAACATTCCACATAACAACACAGTTTAACACAGCTCGAACCCAAGACCATGCATTGAATAGTTGGAATTCTAGTACCGAAAATAATTTTAGTATAAAGTATGTTAAACCAGCTTTTCGATAATTCGAACTATGCATCGATCAGACACTCATAGCTCGAGTTATGAATTTTTAAAATTTCACAAAACAACATAACTCGATGCACACCAAACACGTGTCCATGCATCGAATACTTGGAATTCTGATACCAAGAATATTTTTAAAAGAAATCACGCTAAGTCAGCTTTCCAACGATTCGAACGATGCGTCAATCTAACACCCGAAATGAAAGTTACGAATTTTTAAAGTTTTAAGAAAATTCTGTCCAAAGTTGTGGTAACGAGTTACCCAAAAACTGGTAACCGGTTACAACCTGATAACACTAGCCAGAAACTCAATTTCTGCATGCGGTAACAAGTTATCCATATTCTGGTAACCGGTTAGACCTCCAAAAATGCAATTTTCTGCATTTTTTGTGTACGAATTCCCCGTTTCGACACATTTCTAAACCCTAATCTCTATACATTATACAATAACAAAATCCAAGTTCAATTCTTATTTTTATACACCATTATTAACGTTTCAATTCACCAAAAATTGCAATTACCTACATGAATTCACACAATTTCATACACAGGACAAACACCGACACATCCATTACATCAAAGACAAACAAGAGAGTTGATAACTATGGAGATTAATAACTACCCACCCTTATATATCATGCAATTACTAAGCAATAGAAAACTTCAACCTTACCTTAATCGACGTTCTTCAAAAGTGCTCTAACATAGGTTTTCTTTGCCGTAGCTCTTCCTCTCTTTCGTGCTTTCTCTTCTCCCAAAATATGATCCTTCTGTTCTCTTCTCAGTTTTCTACGATCACTCTAATCTAAAGTGATTTTTCCTTCATGGTTTTACTAATTTAACCCTTAGACCCTTACTATCTTATTCCACTTATGCACATCCTCATTATAATAATTAAGAAAATAATTATTTAATTATTACCAACATAATTATTATTCTAATATTCTAATAATAATTTCTAATAGCACTCTCCCTTCACCCCTATGCCTCTACACTTTTGTTCATACACCTCCAATACCTTATTTTCTATATTTCTAAGGTAACCACCCCTTAACAAGACATCACAGCATATAAAAAGACTTATCAACGCATGTAAATGCACAACATCACATAATTAATTTATAAAAATTAATTCAATAAAGATTAGGGTGTTACAACAAGAGTGAGACAATTTTTTCGGTTATGTCCGACCTGACGACATATACCACACTTTCTTTCTAGCTTGTCAAGTGCATCCATTCCAGTTATGGTACGCTTGCTTTTTAGATGATCCTTTTTATTCCTTCGCATTTGATCATTGTGCTAAACTATTTCCCCTTTGTACGCAGGCCAATAATCCTCTTTTGCCACCACCGGAAAGCCATCGTTGTATACGTTGAGCAAGGTCTCGGTCTTGTAAGCGGGAGATAGAAGTAGAAATGCATCTTGATGATCATATGTACATGCCACAATGACATGGAAGCAAGGCATACAAAAGACTTGAAACTTTATGCAATCATACCAACGAGATGGTAGTAGAACTCTATACTCTTATCTTGGCAGCCCCTTATTGTGGTCGATTGTCTCTTTGACAATGAAGTTATGGTTATGTCGGTCGAATCTTGTAACATGATGAGTGTTGGCTTTGACGCTTTCTGCCTTAATAAATTTCATGCAGCTTTCACTCCACAATTGTCCTGATTGTACACACTCCTCTTTTTGCAAACAACGAAGCCATCCTAAGCTATGTTAATTTCACCAAAACGGTTACAGGGAGGTTTCATATGCCTTTGAAGACACTGTTCATTGATTTAACAAGATTTGTTATCATGTGGCCCCGTCGTTGTCCATTATCGTATGACCTCGTCCATTTCTCCACTGGAAGATTATTAATCCACCTATCTGCATCCATATTTTGACAATCTGATCTCGCTGTGATAGTGTTTGAATGATTGTTGAGTTAATGCATACCCCACATTCACAAGAGTTTTTCTAAGTGCTCTGTCTTTAATCTCTCGCATGAAATTTTGTGAGATATGTTTAATGCAGTAGACATGCGTGAAAGGGGGCTCAAGCCAACCATTAACATGATTATTTTATGCACTCTCAATAGAAGCATGTCTGTTAGAGATTAAACAGATACTAGGTTGCAGAGCCACGTGTGTTGGAAGATTCTCGAGAAAGAAACTCCAACCACCACAAGTCTCTCCCTCGACTAGAGCGAAGGAAATTTGGAAAATGTTATTGTTGCCTTCTTGTGCAATTGTCATCAGTAGCGTGTCTTTATATTTCCCGTACAACCACGTTCCATCCATTTGAATAATAGGTACACAGAATGCAAACCCTCTGATGCAAGGTTGAAAAGCCCAGAACACTCGACGGAATATTCCATTTCCGTTGACACAAGTACCGTCTGGGGCATACACCAACAATGTTTCAATAATATAAACAATTCTAGGAGCATATGTGTGAAGTGCATGCAATAATAGTACCAAGAGCAAAGACCATACATCTGACATCTTAATATGGACCCCCATCATCATTATCTCACCTTAACCCAAAAATGGGCCTACTTGAAGAATATTCCCAAACCGACCCAACATACCATCAACCATCACATCACCAAAGCATCCAACAAACTTATGAGTACCAAACTCCATAAGATTAATTTCCTTTTTATCCCTCTTATTCAGACGACCAGTGCTATCGACCATCTATGGAACTCCACTTTCCACCAATACAATCAAACTTTGGGGACATGGGTAACCGACTGTTTGAAATCGAGTCTTTCGAATATGGTGATCTGATGGGTTTCATAGATTCTGAATGCAATGACTTCGCATGATCCTCGATCCAACCACAACAGAAAAAATGTCGAAACGCACCACGAGTTAGGCGAAGACGTAGGTACAGAACCATAGGTCCTTATCAAGTCGTAGGAGACAACTAATATGTAACTTTTAATCCCATTATGTAACCGTTTCATTATTATTGAAAGTCGAAGTCTCATTTGCGACAAAAGTGTCTTTTATTTTTTAACAAAAAAAAAAGAATTACACCTAGGCGCCATCTGAGATGGTTTAGAAAAAATCAGATGCACCTAGTCATCATCTCATTTGACACCTCCATTAAAAATTCAAATGGATGTATCATTTGAAATGACGAAAACATTTTAATCATTTCTAAAATATAATTATTTGTGTAATTTTCTTCAAAATATGATTATTTGTGTATTTATGCTTTTATATAAAATAATAAAAAAAACACTTTATAATATTTTATAAATTGAGAATTGAGACGAAGCAAATAGTTTATTTATTTCCTTTGCCACGCCATTCATGTGCATCCAAAATCAATAAAGTAATTATTAATTTTAATTCTTTTACTAATTATCTCCAACTCATCCTCTCATCAGCAGTTGGGTCATTATAAAATTCCATTTCCACTTTCCCCAATCTCTGTTGTGTTTCATTTCCCACCTAATCATCTTTTTCACTCTCTTGAACATAAAAATAAAATCCATAGAAAAATGGGTCTTAATAGATCACCTATTACAGTGATCTTGGTCGTCTTCACGGTGTTCACTGTAATACTTGCCTCCGACATGTCTATCATCTCCTACGACGAAACCCACGCAGACAAGTCTTCCTGGAGAACTGAAGAGGAGGTGATGAGCCTATACGAGGAGTGGCGCGTGAGACATGGAAAGGTGAGTATCAACAACCTGGGAGAAAAGGAAAAGAGATTCGGAATCTTCAAAGACAACCTTAGGTTCATCGACGAACACAATGCTGAGAACCGGACATATAAGGTTGGGTTGAACCGGTTCGCTGATCTTAGCAACCAAGAGTACCAGTCCATATATCTTGGAATTAGGACCGACTCAAATCGGTTGGAAAAGGCTGTGACGAAGAGCAACCGTTATGCTGCAAGTGTTGGTGATAACTTGCCTGAATCTGTTGATTGGAGGAAACAAGGTGCAGTGACCCAAGTCAAAGACCAAGGAAGTTGTGGTAAGTAACTTCTACTCCTATAATATTACTCTACTACTCTCTTAATTATTTATTCTCTTGTACTTTTATTTTAAATATATTACTACTATCAAGTTCATATTTATTATATGACCACCCACTTACCAATTAACATCCGCAGAATTCCTTGGTCAATTACTCATTACTTGTTACTTTCTCCTCCACATTGCCACCAGTCATTTCATAAATGGGAAATTAAATTATATATTAAATTTATAGAAGTTGTGAGTTACTCCAATTTATTATCTTTAGTCCAGTTGGTAAAGATTGCGTAATCTTTTTTTTTGTTTTGTTTAAATGAAGGTAGCTGCTGGGCCTTTTCAGCCATAGCTGCTGTGGAAGGGATTAACAAGATAGTAACAGACGAGCTTGTTTCACTATCAGAACAAGAACTGATTGATTGTGACAGAACAATTAACGCAGGATGCGATGGTGGCCTCATGGACTATGCCTTTGAGTTCATCATAAACAATGGTGGTATTGACACCGATAAGGATTATCCCTATCGTGCTGTTGATGGTAAATGTGATCAAAACAAGGTAAGTTAGTCTTGATTTATATAATGATTGTATTAGTTATCACTCCAATAATTACTTAGAGTTTTCTGTGGTTTTTCTCTTACAGAAAAATGCTAGAGCTGTTACCATTGATGACTACGAACAGGTTCCTGCTAATGATGAGTTAGCCTTGAAAAAAGCTGTTGCAAATCAACCAATCAGTGTTGCCATTGAAGCAGGTGGTAGGGAATTCCAGTTATATGTATCGGTAAGTTTCTTAATCAATTTTCCGAGTCAAAATCATCACATTATTATTGGACTAGAATGTATCTATGTGAATTTTGCTCTTTGTTTTTTTGGCTTAGTGTAAACTATTTGTCTTGATTTTCGCAGGGTATATTTACGGGAAGATGTGGGACATCATTAGACCATGGTGTTACTGCTGTTGGATATGGAACAGAAAATGGAGTTGATTATTGGATCGTAAAGAATTCATGGGGAAAGAGTTGGGGAGAGGCAGGTTACGTGAAAATGGAGCGTAATCTAGCGACCAGCGTGTCAGGAAAATGTGGAATTGCAATGCAGTCTTCCTATCCTATAAAGAAGGGCCAAAATCCTCCAAATCCTGGCCCATCCCCTCCTTCACCTGTGAACCCTCCAACGGTTTGTAGTAGATCCTACCGTTGTGCTTCGGGCACTACTTGCTGTTGTACATTTGGATTTGGAAAACTATGCTTCTCATGGGGATGTTGTCCTCTTGAAGCTGCAGTCTGTTGTAAAGACCGATCAAGTTGTTGTCCTCATGACTATCCCGTTTGCAACACTCGCCAAGGAACCTGTCTTAGGGTAAATGCTATATACATATATATTTGACGATGTAGCTTTGCATTATCACTAATCATGCACTATTTGAATTGGTTTGTATTGCAGAGTAAGGATAATCCATTTGGAGTGAAGGCAATGAAGAGAACTTTGGCTAAACCGCATGGGACGTTTGAAGGTCAGAATGAAATAAATGTTGCTTAAGTAGATTATCACCAACTTGGCACTCATGTTCTTCCTTTCCTTTCATTATCTTACTGGTAAAACGATATATTCACATTTAATGACCAACTTGGGATGTAGACAATTTTCATGCAGAAGTATGTAGATGCTTTTGTTTTACTTTGGTGATGTATTTGTATTCTAAAATTTCTACCTATGAACATGTGTTTGATTATTGTTTCAAACTTGTAGATTCTGGAATAAGGTGATTTGTTTATTCACCTGTTAGTTTATAAATGTCCTAATGATTTTCAGTAAGAGTAGTCTTGATAGTTGAGACTCATGTCATACACACATATCACCTATCTGACAAATTATGAAGTCAGCTCATATATGGTAATGATAATGATATCTTTCATCCTCGTGGCTCCATGTCACTACTAGTCTTGCAAAACGAGAAACATACTAACATAAAATCACTCTCAACAATCAGTAACAATGTTCATATCTCTTTCAAATATTAACTATGAAGGTTTTTTTTAAGTACTAAACAATATATTCATGTGTAAAACAAAAAGATAAAGGTTTAATTAGTTATGGCATCCCTTAATATACTTTAAGGGATTTCTTTGATCCCTTATTTAATATTTCTTCCGATCTTTTTTATAAGAGACACTTCACCTTTATAGATTTATTAAATAATTAATGTATCTGATTTATAATACAGACTAAACACATTATTTTTTTTAGTGTTTTGATATTTTTTGAATATTTTTTGATACATTATGTATTAGTTGTATATTAGTGTTTTTGATATTTTTTCTCTTACAGAAAATGGAAAAATGGAGTTGATTATTGGATTAAATAATACATTTTTCAATGGTGTATTTATTAAAACACTAATGCCATGTGTCTTTATTAAAACACTAAAAATATCAAATCACTAATATGCAAATACTTTTTGATATACAGATTAAATATGGAACAGAACGGAAGATGATGAATACTTTTTTCAATAAATAAATAATGCTCGGACTGTTAGAAACAATTCAAACTGTATGTAGTTGTAACTAGCTGTCCAATTGTATGCTGCCATGTATCTTGTAATGTGCATGCTTATATTAGTTCACTCTTACTCTAATGTAACAAGTTAATTCAGATAAAGAGACTCCTCTCTTTCACTCGTCTTTTTCTACTTATCTTCTCCCTATCACCATTATTGTGTATATACTCTAACAACTGGTATCACCAGAGCTCAGTTGGATTAGAAGCCTTGCAATACACACACAATGGTGCAAACCGGTGCAACCTTCAAAACAAATCTCCCTATTTCAATAGAAAGAATTAGGATCGATGGAGGGTGCTGATGAATGTGATAATGAGTTATCAAGAAGTCATAGAAATTGTAGAAGATGGTTACTAAGCACTTCCCGCAGATCCCATAATATTCGAAGGAATACCATGCAAACTGACAATCTTTTTAATATAAACATCAACTAGCTTATACAAAGGATAATTGGTCTTTATCAAAATAAAATGAGCCGACTTAGTCAATTTATCTTCAACAATCCAAATCGAATCAGTTCCTTTAGAAGTCTTGGGTAAACTCGTCATAAAATCCATCAAAATGCTATCATACTTCCATTTTGAAATACTCAACGATTGCATCAATCCAGACGACTTTTGATGCTCAATTTTCGACTTCTGACAAGTTAAACAAGAATATACAAACTCTGCAATCTCCTTCTTCATACCTAGCCACCAAAACATCTTCTTAAGGTCTTGATACATTTTAGTATGTCCATGATGAATACTTAAACTTCTCTCATGACCTTCCTCAAGAATTCTCTTCTTAAGCTCTGGTAAATTTGGCACATAAACTTTATCTTGGAATCTCATAACCCTATTCTCATATACTATAAAATTTTCTTCCTTATCTTGATTGATCAGCACCAAACGATCGACTAATCCCAAACATCCAGCTTTTGACCTTCTATGATATCGTCAAGAATACTGCCAGTCAACCTCATCATACTCAACTTCACACTATTATGAATCTCTTCACACACTAAACTAAGGTCTCTGAATTGTTCAATTAAATCCAATTCTCGGGCCATAAGCGCCGAAATATGCAAAGACTTCCTTCTCAAAGCGTCTGCCACAACATTAACTTTACTCAAATGGCAACTCAACACAAAGTCGTAGTCCTTCAGAAATTCAAGCCATCTCCTGTGCTTGATATTCAGTTCTTTCTGATCAAATAGATATCTCAAACTCTTATGATCGTTGAATACCTAAAACTTTGAACTAAACAAATAATATATCCAAACTTTAAGCACAAACACCACAGTTGTCAACTCTAAACCATGGGCAGGGTCATTCCTCTCATGAACCTTCAACTGCCATGAAGCATAATCTACAACCTAACTATTCTGCATAAGCACACCACCTAATCCCATATGTTAGTTCCATGGTTTTATGATTGATTAAATTTTGGTAAAACATGGTTTTATATTGATGTTGAGCAAGATGTTATAACATCTGCATCAACTGTCATGACAGTTCAGTTGTTATGAGTTTTCAACCAGATGTCGAAGACATATGTCATGGCATCATGGTCTATGTATAGCAGGCATTGTTGTTGGTTATCTCTTGACAAATTTGTTTTGATTTGATGAGATCCTTTTGGATATACCTCATCATTATGCGCAAATCAAGGAGATTATTTAGGAACAAAGTACAGATTTAATTGGATTTCTTAAAAAGGATCTTGGAGACTTTTTAGGAAGATTTAAAAAGATTTGTTCCTATTTTTATGAGAAGATCTTGCAGTTGTTTTTAACGTGAAGATTGGATTTGATTTGAAGAGTCCAAGCCCATACTGCAAGAGTATATAAATAAGGACTTGCTATGACTTAAAATAGGAAGCATTCATAACAACAAATCGTGGGTGCAACATAATGGTTTATGGTTTTGGGAGTCTTTTAGGTTTTTAGGGTTTGTGTTCTTTGTGTGTCACTCAGTATCTTTGATGCATTAAGTTGACTGATTGTTTCTTGTTTATTAAGCTATTGTTCTCACTCTGAAGATTTTAAGCAAAGAAATGAATATTGTTCTTGGTTGAAGCTTTTAAGAAAAACCAAACATTGTTCTTAGTTAAGAGTCTTGACTAAGTATTATTTATTGGGAGTGTAATCTTCTTTTTTATTTTTAAGTCTAATCACAAAGTTTGCGGTTGTAGGTATATCACTGCGGTGATTGGAAGTGAGAAAGGGATCTCATATCTAGTGGTTTCTAGGTAGAAGTTGCGCAAGGTAGTTATTAGGAGAGAAGTTTTAAACTAGGGTTGGTTTAGCTTTGAACTAATACTATCATAGTGAATTTCTTTCTTGGCTTGGTAGCCCCCATAGTAGGTGACGTTGCATCGAACTGGGTTAACAATTGATTGTGTTATTTAAATTTCTACAATTATCTTCCTGCATGATCTCCAGATCTAGCAAGTTTTCTGTCAACAAATGTTATAACATCCGTCTTGAAATCGCGTTTTGTGTGCCAAAATTTCAATTGGCATCAGAGCAGGCACCCTGTTTTGTCTATTAGGTGAGCTCCATGGAGACTATTTTCCGGTACTATGGATAAAGAAGGAGGATACGTCAACAGTCCACCTCTATTAGATGGTGTAAATTATGATTGGTGGAAAGTTAGAATGGTAGTTTTTTTAAAGTCCATGGACAGTAAAGCATGAAAGGTTGTTTTGAAAGGATGAGAGCATCTTGTTTTGAAGGAAAAAGATGGGAAATTAGTGTCTTTAAAACCAGAGGAAGATTGGGATGATGAGGATGATAAATCAACTGCTGGAAATTACAAGGCTTTGAATGCTTTATTCAATGGAGTAAACAAGAATGTGTTCAAGTTGATTAATACATGTTGATAACGCGAAATTGCATTGTATATTCGAATCGACCCGCATGGATTCTTTTACCGTTTTTAGTTAGTTATGTCATATCATGCTGGTATTTCTATTGTATTTTTGGTATTTTCATCCCCAAAGCTTGCATGAGAAAAAAAGATAAATTGGCAAAGAAAATGTAAAGAAACAGAAAGTAGAAAAAAAGATAAGGAAAAATTGCACACAGAAGGTTGTGGCCCTCGCCACACAGCCAAAAGACGTGGCCCCCACAACACCTTCTGTGGCCACCGCCACAAGCTTTTAAAAGGCCAAGCCAAGTATTTATGTTCTTCTCCACGTCAAGGCCCACTCTCCCAATTTTTTCTCCGCAAGCAACGTTCCCCCGATAATTCCTCCATGATTACCTCTTGTCTGGGTTCTTTGCAAGGGAAGTTAGGAGTTAATCAGAGGGAGTCTATAAAAAGCAACAGTTGAGAGAGTCCAGGGTTCGTCCAATTTTTGATAGTTCAGAGCATCTTTGTTTTAGATTTTAAGCAGTAAAATCACCATTAAAGTAATAGTTTTCCGTATCGGGGAGCTATTGCAATATTAGTTTTAGATTTATATTTCGTATTCATTCTGTATTTTTGAAGAAACAAATCTTGCCGACATCTGTGGAGGATTGCAGACTTGAAGTTTCAATATTAATTCTAGTTTTCGCTTTTAATTCTAGGTTTCAATTTAGTTTATTTTTATTGTCTCTATTTTCAGTAATCATACTTAGGTTTATAATTTACTACTGGTATTGTATGTTTATGTTTAAAATCATGTACGACTAATTTCTTTCGATACCGGTATGTAAAAGTAATCTAACCGAAGCATTCAGAAATCTATCGGCATAAATATTTACAAATTACTTTTCTGGTTTTGGCTTCTAATTTAAATATTGAAACAATTTTGTCACGAGAGTAAAAGACGAACAAAGTTTAAAATCAACAGAGCGAGAGTTTGAGATTTTAACCTGATAGTAGTAACTGGACGTTAATTTTTTAAATACAACAAGAGCATTAGATTTTATTGATTTCCAAAAAGTATTTTTAAATTCAAATGAGACAGCGACAACAAGCATTTTGATTTAAGAATATAGTCTAAGTCAATAAACACGAGAGTGTGAGATACCGACTTTCAAATTAATATTTTTTTACTGAAGAGTATTTTAACTTTTAAACTACGCCAATGGTTTATCGAATCCTTGAAGACTGACGAATTGCATATCGGTGTCCCGTTATTGAATACTTTTACTAAATCTGAATTTAATTCTCGTTTTCTCAAAACCTAAGATTAATCATCAGCCTTAGATTTATATAGTAACATTAGATACCATAGTTTGATTATCAGTCCTTGTGGGTTAGATATCTTTTAAAACTACGCGATTAGATTATGCACTTGCAGTCAGTAATTCCGACAGACTCTTAAAGTCGCGATCAAGTTTTTGGCACCGTTGTCTGGGATCTGATTTAGTCAATATCGTGATTCCTTTATTACGCAGTATAGACTAAGGCAACAAATTTTATTACCTTTAGTCCGTTGATTATTGTTATACCCCAAAATTTTCCCTCTCATATTTTCCAAAGTCTTCCCCTACATGGTTGGTCACAAACCCTTGCCTAAGAAAAAAAAAGAAATTTTTTGAGTGGTGTTTAAGTACCTTTTGATTGGCCTCATGGAAAGCCTTTCGATAGGCATTGTGTCAAGGCCTTCGATTGGCATTCTGAGTGTCTTTCGATTGGCATCTCCAAAATTCCTTTCGATTGGCATCTCCAAAATTCCTTTCAATTGGCATCCCCAAAATGTCTTTCGATTGGCATCCACACAGCGCCCTTTGATTGGCATAGACAAAGGTCTTTCGATTGACCTGTTAACAAGGCCTTTCGATTGGAATTTTAACAAGGTCCTTCGATTTGCATTTACAAAGGGTCCATTCGAAGAAGCTTTCAAAGGGTCATTCAAAGGAAGCCATCATCCTATTGGAAATGGAGCATTCGAAGGAAGCCATCAGCCCATTCGAAAGGGAGCATTCGAAGGAGG